AGATGTCATGTCATGCCGATGGTTTTCTAATCTTCGATCTAGTCTGCCTTTGCTCCCTCGCAAGGAAGTGACTGAACGCGTGGATCGTGTTATTTCAGCGTTGGGTCTCCAATCATGTGCGGAACAAAGAATCGGTACACCTATCTCAAGGGGTATATCTGGTGGTAAAGTCCTCCCATATGCGGTTCCACAACCCTTGTTTACCTCGGACTCTAGGCCAGAAGCGTCGTGTTACGGCTGCCTGTGCTATGGTGACATATCCGTGAGCTTCTTTCTCTATGTCTGCCGGCACCTTCGCGCGGTACTAACCTATATTAGGCGTATTTTGTTCCTCGACGAGGTTACTTCTGGTGTAAGCTCTGATCAAATCAAACCTCTTTCAATACTCCTCTCATGATGCCTGAAGCTGGATAGTACCTCGGCAAGGGAGGTCATGTCTGCCATTCGCACACTGGCGGTCGAAGAAGGGATTATCGTGATAGCGACTATACACCAGCCATCCCTCGAGACGCTTGCACAATTCACCAATCTTCTGTTACTTTCCGAGGGTAGAACCTGCTATTCTGGTACTGTCGAAGACCTTGAAGGGTACTTCGAGCGATGGGGTCGACCTGTAGGAAGATTTGTAAGGACGCTTCATTCATTTTATTTATTCTATTTGAAACTCATGCAATGCAGCATGCCCCTGCTGAACACGCCATGAATTTCCTCAACAACGACTTCGAGACGAATGAATCCAAAGGCGCTAGTGCGGACGATCTTCGCGCCTATTATCTATCCACTATAAAGGCTCCGAGCCTATCAATAGGCACTGAACAGGGGCATGGTACTCCAAGCCAGGAAGATTCGGACGCCACAGAGGACCGGGGAAGAGCTAGTTACATAGGAAAGCTTTTCTGGAACACTGTCGTCCTGTCAGAAAGAAGTTTGAAGAACTACTCAAGGAATCTCCTTGCCTATGGCGTGCGGGCGGGTATGTACGGAGGTGAGTTTTGACACCCGTCATACAAGGTTTCATTTCTCACTTTATCAACAGGAATGGGGTTGATGATTGCGTGCGTTCGAATATTTTTTTCTCTGCTTACATGTTGATCCGGGCGTCACAGCACAATCTGGATCCGCCTTGGCCTGCAGGACTCTACCATCAATGACAGACTGTCTGTTCACTTCTACAGCGTAGCGTTTTTGGCATTCGTAGGTCAAGCTATTTTCTACGCCAGAACTTCGGCTTACATGCATGTAACCAGATGTCCGTCGCTGGTATCCCAAGCTGTAATTATAACTATAATCCACTTCGATCCCATAACTTAATCTTTTTCAACAGTCCTCGAAGAGCGCGCAGTCTATTATCGGGAAACCAAAAATGGGTTGTATAGTACCCTACCGTTCGTGATCTCAAATACCATGGTCAACATCCCTTTCCTTTTCGCTTGCACGCTGTTCTTCACGCTTATTTGCTACTGGGCGATCGTACGTCTGAATCATTTACCATAGAGTCATCTTGACATTTATCCTTTCACTTTTCAGGGGCTTCATACCGGCGCTGTGGCATTCTTCCGCTTCCTTGCCTTCCTTTTCCTTGCCATCTTGGTTGGTGAGAGTCAGGTTCTTGTTGTTGCGTCGATCCTTCCCGTCTTCGTGGCAGCTTTGGCAATTTCTGCTTTGTGAGTACCTTTGAAGAAACAATATCAATCCTTGCTAATGTCAATCAGTATCAATGGATTCTGGATGAGCGTAGGAGGATACTTGTGCGTACAAACTTCTTCCTTTCCTCACGCTTTATGCCGATGTGCTTCCCAGTATCAAAGCACGCTCACTTCCCAGGTTTTGGTATTATTCATTCCATTTCATGGATTACCAAAAATATGCTTTTGAGCTCATTACAAATGTACGCGTCTTCAACTACTGACTCGGATTGCTTTCCCTGACTTCGTATTAGTCGGATTTTCGTGGGTTATCCTTCCAGTGTCAGTCACTGTCGGATGGTTCTTGTGCATGCGCATATCCTTCGTCCACGCCTGCATCATGCACAGTTTCTGGGGAGGACGTACTAGCCTACCTGGAGATAGGGTCTGTGTCCTACGGAAAGTGGGCAGCAATACTTGTTTCGATCTTCATCATATTCCGCATAGTGTGAGTGCTTCCATTCCGTGGCCCTATACTATGGGCCCGTTCGGCTACTGATTTGCGGCATTTAATCTAGCCTCTACCTATCACTCAAACTTCGCTCACAATAAACTTTCGGACAATGCAATGGAACGAATCTATACACATGGCTTCATATCCTATCATATCCATGCTTACCCTGATATTTTAAATATTATCGAGTACCTATATCACGACACAATGATGGATCTCCTGAAGGATTTTGTTCAATTTGATTATTTTCGGAACACCAACTAACCGCAGACCCCTCGGTCGAACACCGATGAGTAGCAAATGTCTTGCACCAGCAACCATAATAAAAAAGTACGTATTACAGATATGCAACTATTATAAATACAACGTATAATTACAAAGATATGTACAACTTACAACGGATTTGTCGTAGATGCGATTAAGGCTATACGAAGGAGGCAATCGACGTTTGCTGTTACGCCTGATGCTGCAATACCTCTAGATGAAACTCCCGCCAGTCAATATTTTATGTAGGATCGGGCTCGAGCTGTTCTTCGACATCCTCAATGACAGGTTCAGCTGACTGCCGCCAATGAGCCTTCTCTTCCTCCAGGGCTTTCTCTCCCATTATCCAAGAATCCCGACTGGGGGTATGCACGAAGTATGATGAGCGGCGGGAGGAGGAAGAAACACGCCGAGATCGAATTGGCATGGTTTGTACGGAAGTTGGGCGTTCGCGGCGGCGCAGACTAGGAAGATGTAAAAACGACCTGTCCGACGAGGATCCAGAAAGCGAGAGGAATGATTTACGATTCTCTTTTGAAGACGCCTTCGATGGCGAGGGATTCTCTGTCAAGTCTGAGAAAAACGACTTGGAATCGGGCGACGATGCAAACGGGTCTATGGGCTGGAAAACAATGGAGTCTTCGTAGCTGTTGTTACCAGGATCTCAGCGGAGGCTTGTGTAATGAAGGGTGTGTATTCACCTCTTTGGTATGAGCGGACCTCCAGTGGTTATCCAGACTTCCATTATGTCCGTCGAATTGAGAAGCTCTCGTGCATTTTTGGACGGGGAGCTACTGAATGAAAGAGAATTGTCTGAAACGACAGATCCTCTGCGCTCAAACAGCCGGCTTGAAAATGATATAAATGACGAACGTCGCGAGCGACGATCACGGGACGGATCTGACGACGACGATGACGATGACAATGACGACGACATCGACTTGATGGAGGTGGCGGGGGACAAAATCATAGAACTCGTGCGAGAACGCCGTTTTGTGAAGTCGACGAAGCTGCTATGGCGCCGTGAAGACTTGGGTGTTGATGGAAGTTCCGAATTCATGGGAGCAGGCAAAGGAATGGCAATGGCAGAACTACGGCGCGTTGCCCGAATTGACATGGCACGGAAGCCCGAGGTGAAAAATTCCGAATAAGACCTGTTATTCTTCGTCGGTAGCATCTGAGGAGTGCCAAGGAGCTAAGCTAAGGCTGCCAGTTCCATGGACGCAGCTTACTTATATGCATATGCAGATAGGACTCGGTGCCAATAATCTCATCTATCTGTGGTATTGACGCGGATATCATCACGAGTACCTTCACAGCACCTGAGGCTGGGCGTCAATGCTGACTTTTCAGGGGGTGAGACAGACGATGCGAATAGATCTGTGTGAGAAGAAAGCCAGAAATAAGCTGTCATCATTGCGGGCCCCTACCGAGAAGTTCACGGGCATTCGATCAGTGCGTGGACTGTTGAGGACAGCCTTGGGTAGAGGAAACGTGAATTGAGCTTGAACATCAATCAAAGAAGCGGTTATAACTTCACCTACAGCCAGAGTGAATGACTACTGCCATGATCATCGGCCGGTGAAACACGGATAACCCCAACTTATTGTTTTAAGGAGATTGCAAGACGCCGATGTGGAAAAGAGGGTATAGGGCGCCCTGATCGACAGATGACATCAACACCTATTGAAAGCCTCACACAGAGGATGCGCCTTCTCTGTAGTAAGCCACTCTCTCACTGAATACAAATACAGCGCCTGTTCCTCCTGAATGGCTGATGAAAAAAAAAAAACATCGTAGCGTGGTTGATTATCATGTACATCATGACCTATTGTTGAGCTTATATCAGATCTTAGTCGCCATTCAACTGTTGAACATGGAGCTCCTTTGCCCCTATCGAACAATATATTGTCTAGGGAAGATGTCCATGCCTGGAACAGGCCCTGTAGGCTGGTGATAACTTGATGGGATGCACAGACAAGTGGGCATCAAAGGGGGTCCGAAACATCAATTATAGCTATTTGCAAACTGATACTTTTGCAACTAGTGATGCATGTCATACTTGGAGCCTAAGGAGTCGTTTTCATCAGGCGACAGTATCTCGACCAAACGACGTATGGCGCACCTATTTATAATGTTACCGTTTAGCACTATGAGCCTGTGTATTTGCCTGTGCGAGCCTATCCTTCTGCGCTTCTGCTATCACCCTCCGCTGATTAAAATACTCGATCTTTACGAAGTTGGTGAGTATGTATGTATGTAGCCTGGTACAAAATTCTCATACATACCCAGCTTTTCGCGCAGTTTGCTTCGTATTTCCGGTGCTCTGAAGAGCATGCGTCACCTTCTTCACCTGCTTTTACTACGCCTGCGCGGTCCAAACAAGAGAAATAGGCATCTCGAGTCTCCCAACATTTTTGCCTGTCTTGGCGCGAAGGTACCTCAGGTTCTTGCGGTTTAGAACTCCAAGTAAACCATCCCATGAGTACTAGACGGTTCAAGAACTGGTACAAAAGAAGAGGGTTGTCAGCATAGGTCACGTGCTCGAGAAAGTCCAAAGAAATGACTCATCAGAAAAACACATGTTAAATTTGTTGTCCTTCTTAGCTCAGTTGGTAGAGCGCGTCACTAGTAGAGATGACGAGGTCAGTCGTTCAAGTCGGCTAGAAGGAAC